GACCACCTGGAGTGAGATGACCCGGAGCAAAAGAGATCTGGAACCAAAAAGGGCCAGTCTTCTGAAGGGTCCTCACCTATATACTGGGCATGACGTGTATGTTATGGAATAGATTATTGGCCACTCTGTGTCTCAATCCCAAACCTAAAATCAAATCCTGGGCTAGTAACTGGGGCTGTGCTCCCTCCCAGCTTCTCCTGTTTGCAGGCAGACAGAGAAGCTGGAAGACCTTGGCAGCCGCATAAACATCACTTTTTATCAGCTTTCTTCTGAGCACAAATCCAAAACACAGCCTCTTGCTAGCTATTATGAAGAAAGTTAACTGTCTCAGCTTAACCCAGGACACTCATATAATTAGCCTACAAAGAGTATTTCCATGTCCCTCAATGGTACAGCCAGACCATCCTTCCTTCTGGAACTTTGCAACTCTGACACCAGGAAAGTAAGTTACAAAAAAACCCCCTTTATGTGACTTATGTAACCACTGCAACCCCTGACCTCTGAATCTGAATTTCCGACTACAGGACTAGTGACTTTTTTCCACCTGTACATATTTACCCTGGCGACAGAAAAGGTAAAACTAGTTCAAAGTCAGAAGCCTGACACAGGCCTTTTACCAAAATTGCTGTAAGGGCAAACAGAACTCCTGATTACAAATAGGACCTTGATCTTCACTCTTTTCCAATGACAGGATGTGCCAGCATAACCATAAAAGCCACAGAAACCTCACACTACACTGTGTGCTGCAGTCCAATGGTATCAGCTCACTCTGTCAGTTGCAGATTTCATGAACATGCAGTGCAGAAAGCAAAATCAAGTTCATGGTAATAAATGCAATTATGTCAAAGAACTGAAACTGGAAAACCTTCCCCCTCTCCCTCCTACTCCAAGCTAAGTTGTAAGGCACTGAAGGGCCAACTAAAAAAAGAAAAAGTAGTATTTCAGGCCCTGTCGGATTCTGCAACACGAGAGAGAGCACACACATCACAGCTCTTTCAGGATCTAGGGTATCAGCATCTTGGATCCAGATACAGTCTACAGTCTGGTTCAAGAAGCTTTGAATTAATTTTAGCAACCACACAGTTTAAAAACTGGAGGTAGCCTGATGGTTGTAAGTCTCCTAGGAGAAAGACTGAAGTTTATTCTCCCCACAAGAAGTGTACGTCAAGATCCCCATTTTTGGCTAAGGAATAAAAAAAAAAAAAAAAAAAAAAGACATATACCACCCTTAAGTGTTGTTTGCTTTAAAGCAGATCATAATGCAATCATCACTTGGATGCAAAATCCTAGGCTTTGCAGCATGCCCAAGATTGCACTCTTACAGCATCTTGATGCGGTGAGCACCATCCTCTGAATTATAATAGAGCTCAGCCACCAACTATTGAGAAAGTTCACCATGATCAAAACTAAATTACCTCTGTTTGTAGTGCAGTGTTGCAACTCATAATAATCTCCCTACAAGCATTACAGCACACACTTTGGACTTTGAGAGTTAAAAGCACGATACACGCAAGGTTGTGAGCACCGTGATTTTGAATTACTAAAATGCCATCAAAGTTTATTGATGGAATTTTATCAGATTAATATAAATTACACTTCAATCTAATCCAAAGTGCATAAGTAAACTTTAAAATGTCTCACCTAAAATTCTTCCACCAAAAAACCTTCTCTCAGTCCATTTCAGCAAACTAAAACATGCAAATATAGCCAAGCTAACTCTCAGTCAAACTCCCTTTTATTTCATAGATGTTAATTGCTAACAAAGCTAAACAAATCTGAAGTTCAGACTGAGTCACTGAAACATTCTAAAGACTTGGAGGAACAGACCTGATGTAATTTTTTGTCACTTCAATCCTTATTATTTCCTCTGCTTTGAAATATAAGATGTAACAGTGAAAACACATTTTCATATTTTTACTGTTTGACCTCTTTTTAACATTTTTAAGCTATGTATCTTCTCCATGAAAACCAATAAATATTTGAGTGTGAAAACAGACCAGAAAATCTCATTAATCTAGAAATACCATTAACGAGAAACTTTTTTTCATACATAGATGATTCTTGTCAGTGATCCAATTGGAAAATTTTCTCAGATGACCACATTTTGAACAGACTATACAGTGTTCTTGGATTCAGTCCAGATTTCAAGAGAACTAATTCACTCCTTTTATGAAAAAATGGCAGTTTTAAACATACATAGCTGAAAATAGAAAGCAGTCTTCGGAGTTAAATGGTTTTTATGCAGCTGAATTGAGACATACCAGAAGTAAATTAAGTTCAGTGCTGAAGAGCATTTCAAATCATCCTAGCAATTACACAGGAAGCTGGGTGTAGTTACTATGAAGCTTTCAATCCAACCGTATCTTTGGAAAAGTCAGATTTAATACCACATTATCTCACAAATTTTTAATATATATTAGGTAACTCTGCTCGAACACAGATCCTGCTTATTGCTTTGAAACATACAACATTATCATTGAAACCTAGACACTTGTCTAGAGTTCTTAGTAGCCAAAATTAAAAAGACCAAATAGAGGACAGCAGGAAGAAAGGCACATGGTTAATTTATAAAAGTATTTACAGGGTACCTGAACATTTATTTCTATCTACTAGAAACTCATTAATCTTGAATACAAAAAGAAAAGACTACTGACACATGTTAAAGGAGATCATCCTGAACAGATGTTCTCAAGCAATACAAGCACAGAATCTCATACACTATTAAATTATTTTCAGAATTAAATTTCTCATTTTGAATACAGAATTTATTAACTAAAGTTAATAAATTTATTATTCCTCTAAGTACTGCGATACTTTAGTGCAACCCTCTTCAAAGGGTGAAGCTGGCACAGTTAAGGCAGCCTACTAACAGTATTTTAAAATTCAGCACACAGTGTTTAATCATTGAGGTGCCTGGTGGTTCTCAGTTTGGAGAGCTGTCTTTTCAAACCTTCATCCATACTGTCATCCTTCTAGCTGATGCACTCTCAAAGACAGCATGTTCAAACACTACAGTTCTTGCAGTGTTTTGGGGCTTTTTGGGGGTGGGAAGAGAGGAGTCTATCACCAAGCTGTTAGCTCCACAAGCAACTCTGCAGTATGGTTAACACCCACAAGTTGATGTGTAGCTTTACTGTACATTGTGCTAACCTTCATATGCTGTCAAAAACACGCTTCTGAAACAACACCCATTACATTCAAAGCTATAAGCACTCTATAGATCCTGGTACTGCAATCTGCACTCCACTGATAGTGTTTCAACATATTCCGTTGCCAGAAGCAAACTAATTTTCCTAGGGTGGTTTCCTTTTTTTTTTTTTTTTTTTTGGAAGTTAATTGATGCACAATTTCAGGAAAAAAAACCCTCTCTGAAAAAAGTCAACCAAGGTTTTTAAAAGGACTTAATCCCATTCTGATTTTTTTCCTACAGACTTGAACTAGTAATTTTGAAACTATTATCCTCAACTGGAGCAAAAAATTTCACTCTAGTAGTATAAATATGCTTTCCATTAAACTTCAATAAGGCTATGCCTTATTAAAAGGTGACTAGTGCTGCCTAACTACAGCTGATAAGTTGGGGCACCAGAATTAACTTGAATTGTTATAAAATTCCATAGAAGAAAAAAAAAAAAAAGAACTGCATAGTATGTGATCCCTTTTATTCATCAAAGCTGCCCATGTATATCCCAGGTGGAAGATAGCAGAACAGCTGCTCACCCTTCAGAAGCAGCTGTGTTTAGTGCTTGCCATAACATCTTTCCATGTTGCTAGTTGTCACATCTCTTCAAAGGACAATTACAGAAGTGGAAAGGAAAAAATAAGAGAAAAATAGAACAGCATTTTCAGACACATCAATATTCCTCAATTTTTTTCATTTGAAATACTGAAATAGATTTATTTACAATGAAAGTAATCAGAAGACCATTCTTCTGGATTTAAAATATTTTGGTTTTTTTTCTTTGGAAAAAAAGAAAAAAGAGAAAACCAATACACATGACTAAAACCACAGATGCTGTGGCTTTTCTGCCTGCCCCTCTCTCCTTACGTATGTCCATACTGATGACAGAGCCAGTTCAAAAAAAGTCTAATCACTATCTAAATTAACAGGGTTGTAGTCAGGATCATCCTCTTCATCCTCTAACTCTAAATCATCCATTTCTTGGAATAAAGATTCATCAACCTCCACGCTGTTTCCAGCTGCAAAAAATGGAAAAATAATTTATTTTCATGCAAGTAGGAAAACACCTGAACCACAAAATACACAACACTTTTTCATATTAATTCTTCAGTGTAGGTAGCTGTTAATTTACTTGGCTTTTTATATATCAAACAGATATGGAAAAGGAAATGCCACATTTTATCTTTTTTCAGCTAAAATGAAGATTTTTCCCTCATACCAAAACCCAGTCAAGAGAAACATCTCATAGGACCTCAGAATCCATTGGGAGAATGAAATCAACATTTATAGCTCCCACAACCAGAGATCCTTTCTCCCAGGTACTGTCAGAGTAGGAGCTCATGACCTCACAGCTGGAATAGCTACAACTATCATAGCCACAGACACACATAGGGTTTATTAAAAAAAACCAAACCAAACCTTGCACCCCATTTATTTGCCTACATACATAAATTTTCATTCAGATTTAAATTTTAAAAACAAGATGAAGCTTTGCATGCCTCCACATTTTCTTCTGACAGAGATGATTCTGACCCAAGGATAACGCTTGAGGACTACTGTTTTATTTGTGTGTATCAACAGCGACATCTTCCGGCCACTGAACAAGGTTCTGTTCTTTCACGGGATTTGAAAGAGCCTTTATAACCTGTATCTAAAAGATAATGCCATTATCCTGTTTAAGCTGTGAAAATTAGTATTACTTATTACACGGTATTGCAATACTAAATTGCAGTTAGTAACCTATTGCATCTACGACAGAATAAAACCAGCAATAAGAACAGGAGTTTTTAATCGCTCACAGCAACAGGGTTAAAAGTTAATACATTAATCCCAAGTCATTTGGGCACAGAGCCCAAACACAGAAGTGTGTTCCTCCCTTGATACAGCCAAATGTTCCATCAACAACCTGTCTTTACTCCAAAAGCTTTGGAGGAAGGCAAGGTTAAATTACACCCTCTAACCAAAAGAAACTTAACTCCCCCATTACTGTCATTTCAAGTTTATACTCACTGATGTGTATAAACAACTTTTTTTTTTTTAAATTGTTACTTGTAGAGAAAATTCTTGACTCTCTTCTGCATGTGTGTTTTGCAATACCAGTAGATAATGCAGCTACAATAAAGAACTGTCTTAACTCAAAAATCAGTCTTAAACTAGGATACTAAAAGGCAGTACATAAAATTAAAGATACGTGACTGTGAGTAGATTTATTTGATTTATCTCCAGCAGATTTTCCAATTTTAACATCTTTAGGCACAGGCTTACAAAATTGTCTGCTGGCACCAGGTCAGATATTTTTGGTAAGATAGACAAATCTGCACAAAACCATGAAGAAGAACTGGGTTGTGCAGAGGCAAATAGCATTTAATTTGGCCTGCAAGATTTTTACTGTTGGTGTTGAGGTTCAGAGAGAAGGAGACAGAACTTCAATATCTGTGCTTGAAATCAGGGGTAAGAACGCTGGCTATTAGAAAAAAAAGAAAAAGCAGGATTTGGTTCTGGGTTTTGGTTTTGCTTCCCGTCCAAACACTTAAATAGATGCAACAGAAATAAGATCAACTCAAGCTCAAAACTGCTTTAGCATCTTGAAAAAGTTTTTTGTTTTTGAAAAAAGTCAAAATCAGTTCAGTTACATCTGCAAAGCACTACTTCTTAGAAAGTTCTTGTAATGTAAAAGTGATACTGAAGTAAGATGTTAAGTCAGAAATATCATACAGATTTTGCTTAGGAATTTTGACCTATTTTAAGCCACTATCTTTTAGTTGTGGAAACAAAAAGAAATTTACCTTCCTCCAAGAACTGGATGTCAGAGGTGTCAAGGTTGTGATCCATTTCAAACAGCTGTTTACCTAGAAATAAAAGAAAGCAAAAATAATATATAAACAAGTAGAATTCTGAAATAACTATCAGTTTAAGGCAACAATAGTTAGTACATGTATTTTAGGCTTTTCAAACTAACCAATTTGAGCAGTCTTTTTTTTTTTTTTAAGCTCCTCATTTCTGCAAGTTCCCCCCTCTGATTTTATGCCTACTCATCCAGGATTCTTCCACTCTAACAGGCTTCCTGCTCTTACATGTGAAATAAGTCACCGTTTCTTATAGTCACTTAAATGTTACTAAGGCTTTAATAGTGAGGGGTAGGGATATTTACACCATACTGCCCCACAGCTTTTGCTCAGTCCTTATTGCTTTGTTCCTCATCTTGTGGGAACTGGAAAGGAAATTAGCTGCTTGGTCCACATTTCTCCATATATCTTCCCCATTCAAAAAGTAATTTGGATCTACACACAGATCACTCCTACACACGTACATCTGTGAAGGAGATAGCACACAAAGCAAAGTGAAGACTTTCTAATCAGGAGGTAGGGGAAGAAATCTTTCCACATGAACTACCCATCTTCCATCTCTATTTCAATTGTTTATGCAAGCTTCCACCAACAAGACAGGTTGGTGTTCACGGTAAAATATTTAAGACACCCTTTATGTCTACTGGGGAGGTTACACTCACGACATCTGAGAATAAGACTTTTTTTAGTTTTGTAAAGGGGAGTTTCTATAAACTAGGCTTGTATAGAGGAAAACAGAGCACGCTAGCAAAAATTTTAAGAACAGGAAAACTAGAAGAAGCCTGATTTCTACTATCTCATCTTTGCAGATTCCCAAATGCATTCCCTTCAGGTGGGCATCAAGCATGTCCCCCCTGCCCTGTACAGCTTTTCACAAAACTCACTACCATTAAGATTTCCACCTCTCTGTCAGATTTAATCAAAACTAGACAAAAGTTTCAAAAGCCTTCAGAAAGGAGGAGAAAAGATAAGTGATATAGCACAATCACATTGGTCATGTTTTCTCAGATAATCAGGTTAAGAAGTAGGTCCAGCATCACAGGAGCATCAGTCCAAAGCTAAGCTATGGAGACTGTGGAGAAGGATACCCAATATTTAAACCTTCCCTACAGGTTCTCATAAGAAAAGTCATTTCCTCCATATTTTGCCCACTGGGCACAGAGTGTGCCTTCTGCTGGACAAAATGCAATCTGCAAAGCACAGAGCCAGAAACCACTGCTATGACAAGCTCTTCCTCAAAGTATCAGAGCCATTCTCACTAGTCATCATAAGTTTGTCATATGCAGCAGCCAGCCTCTGTGTTACTTCAGTCCAGCAACAGCATCCCAAACTCCTGCGTGTGCCTGAATAATGTGAAGTCACACTACGATCCAGTGCAATAAAGGCCAAAGCAATAAGTTGTCTGACACAGATTCTTTCTGTTGCTTAACAAACCACAGCTATTCCTGCCAGAACAACGCTTGCCAGTAGCAGCTCCAGGTGGTATACTGTCTGGCACAAAAATGAAGAAGTTTAAACACACAGTTTGGGAACCTTAATCACTTCAGCAGAAATCTGCAACCTATCAGCTTTGTATTTAGCCCAAAATCAGCACTCAGAAAGACTTTCTGTGACATGGAGTACAACAAGCAAATACTGCACAAAGAGTTTAGTTACTGACATCATTTTTCAGTGTAAAAATTACTTCTAGGCTTGTCGTTATAGTCCAGTAACATTGCAAAAACTTCAAGACCAGTTTAAAATCATACCGCTTAATTTATTTTTGCCTGCTTGTTCTTCTTCTTTCATTTTTTTCCTTTTTATTTCTAGGAGTTCTGCATCAAACTTCGCTTTCCAGTTTAGGAAATTCTCAATGGTAACAGGCGTGCCATGAAAACGTTGCTGAAAGAACAGAAAACAAGGCTGCAAACACAACTTGCAAAGCTACGAGTGAAGACGAGCATTCTCTTAATTATTTAAATTACAACATTCCAGAAGCACTGCTTGCTGTGAAATTAATCCTAACCCTGAAAATATACAAAGATTACATTCTTACTGTTTTTTTTTCATGGGATTCTCCCTTCAGACAGCTGTACTGAGGTGCAAATTCTTATGGAAAAACCTCAAGTACTACTTCTGGACCTACAGTGCAGTAGTTAGCAACACACCACTAATACAGGTTATCCATAAGTAGGCATTGCACCTTACCAACTCTTCAGTGCAATCTACACTGAAATATTTACCATTAAAATATGTTAATCCTTTCATCTTGTTGAGACAGAAAAAAGGATTATTTTTTTCCCAGCTATTTTTCTGCCTTTTTCAGAAATACTGAACCTTCCAAGTCCTATCATCCTCTAGCTTTTTCTGAGGAAGAAACTGAAGACTCAGTAGTTGGACTTACCACAGCACATTCCAGGAATGGGAAAACTATTCCACAGTGGCTGGTAGGAAGGACACATGCAACGAGGACAAACCAGTCTTGAAGACTGGTCCCACTGCTTGCACCCTGCCCACCCAGTCTACCAAGGAAGAGAGACTTCCTCAGACCATGCAGCATGTCTGCAGCATGCCACATTCTAGCCTTCTTTGTTCCCCATCCTCTCTTGCCTCTTTAAGCAAAATACTGGCTACAGCAACCTTGATTTGATTTGGGAAAAATTCCTGCCCCTACCTTAGTAAGTAATGCTAGAAATTACTGTGAACATGCAATACATCCCTTAAAAGACTGCTTTAGAAAATGGACAGAAAATAAAATCACTTAAGTGCACTAAATAATCTTCTAGTCCCTAGGTTTTAATTATATCAACTTTGAGATAAATGTTCCTCTACCACTGCAACCAAGAATTGCTCCTGCATTAAACCACACATTTTTAAAAAAGCAGTAAATTTTTAGTTGAAAACACTATTTTACATACTTTCTCTTCTTCTTCTGCTTCTCTTTCTTTCTGTTTCTTTTCCTCTTCTCTCCGTGTTTTTATTTGATCCACTATTTCATTTAATTTCTCCTGTACTGCTGAGACTAGAGTGAAGATCATTACCATTCCTAAATTTTCTTCTGCCTACAACACAAAGAAGGTAACTTCAAACAGAAGAACCTCAAACCTTCAGCAACTGAATGCATAAGTATGTTTAGAAAGCAGTACACTGTGCAAAAGCAGATAACACAGCTGAAGACCTCTGCACCAATCTCAAAATCTCACTGTAAAGTTCAAGTCAATTAGCCAGTTAATCCAGTTAAAGTTACCCCCAAATGGCTGCACAGCAAAACACCAATGACGAACACCTGTGTTCAGGTTATCAACATATTATAGACATCTGGAAGGCCTTTTCATGAATAAGCCAAAACCTATAGTAGGAATACAACTCCAAGATTTGAGTATCATAGATCATAAGAGACAAGTCACTCAGAACTTCTCTGCTGAAACAGGTTATTCCTTAATCCTATTACATGCCCCTTTGAAGGGGGACAGTTTCCCAGGAAAAATAAAAAATATCAGTTGATGGAAGAACGGTTATATGAAGCAAACTGAAAAAAAAGAATGCCTACTGAACACACTACGGCAATTTTAAGGCAGGGAGGACTTGTAGAGAATTCCTGAAACCAAAGAAGTGTTTCCTTCTCATTCCTTCACAATGCACTCTCACTGATCCCAAAGGTTGAAGAGATCCTCCCAACACCCAAAAGAGTTATGTTATTAAAAATAATCAAGAATCAATGTAGCATTTTTTAATCTTTCAAAATAAAATTAAAGTGCCTTATTTCCACATATATATACAGTTAAACAAACTCACCTTAAGCTAGAACGGCAAAAAGGGGAAGCCCTAGAACACTTCCATTTCATTATCGTACCTGTGCACACCGAATTAGCCCTATATTTTACCTTATTAACATAATTTACCTCAATAATGTCATTTACCAAACTCAGACCTCAAAGTCAATCCCTACAGTATGGAATAGGTTTCAAATCAGTGGCACATACTTCAGAAAACAACTGATTTGAGAGAGAAATTCTGGCTAAACTGTAAAGTGTTATCAAGCTGAATTGAGATATTCCATTTCCCTTACCTGTTGTTCTAGTAGTTTTATTATGTCTGTGACATCATTATCATCAAGATTCTCCTGTGAGACAATTTCATAAAGTGGAGTTTCATCAGGGTATCTTTTTCTATAGGTAAATTTAAGGGTTGTTTGGACAGCTACAAGAAAAAAAATACATATTCTTATTGTGATAACTATTGTAACTTCAACTGTCTATTTTTCTATTGCATCAGCAGCCTTAAGATTCTAAAATATACAATATTCTTGTCTTAAAGGAAGAGTCATCTTTCACAGATGTTAAAACTATATGAACAGATCTAAATAAAACACATGAGTTCTGAGAAATTAAGACAATGAAGTTTACCCTTACATAAACTATTACAGGCTTTTGATGACTGAAAGGTCTTTAGAAATACTGGAAAACCTGTGGTATGGTGGGTACTAGAGCAGCAATCCCTTCTCCTTCTGTGCTGGTTTTGGCTGGGGTAGAGTTAATTTTCTTCATAGTAGCTAGTATGGGGGTATATTTTGGATTTGTGCTGGAAACAGTGTTGATAACCGCAGGGATGTTTTCATTATTGCTCAGCAGTGCTTACACAGAGTCAAGACCTTTTCTGCTGCTCACACCAACCCACCAGCAAGGAAGCTGAGGGTGCCCAAGAAGTTGGGAAGGGACACAGGCAGGGCAGCTGAACCCAACTGACCAAAGGGATATTCCATACCATAGGATGTCACACTCAGCATATAAAGCTGGGGGAAGAAGTAAGGGGTGGGGGGGGCGGCATTTGGAGTTACAGTGTTTGTCTTCCCAAGTAATGGTTATGTGTGATGGAGCCCTGCTTTCCTGGAGACGGCTGAACACCTGGCTGACAATGGAACATAGTGAATGAATTCCTGTTTTGTTTTGCTTTGCTTGCATGTGTGACTTTGTTCTACTTACTAAACTGTCTTTATCTCAACCCACGAGTTTTCTCACTTTTACTCTTCCAATTCTCTCCCCCATCCCACCAGGGGAGAGTGAGCAAGTGGCTGTCTGCTGCTTATGCCGGCTGACGTTAAACCACAACACACTCATATTCCACTTAAATCTGGAAAAAATGGGGAAGAGTCCTAAAAACAGATCTAGAGAGAATCTCAGCATATTAATGCCTTAAATTCTGCGTGCCTAGGTGGAGTACTAACCTTTGTGTTGGGTACCAGGGCTCCACATAAATCACATGACAACGACACCATGTCCAGTAGAAGTTATTAAGCAGAGGACTGCCTAAGGAGAACGCATTCAACCTGAAGCAACCCAAAGCTAGGATAACATGGAAACAAGGTAAAAGAGAATCAAGGCCCTTTCATGCATCCTGACAGAATACCAGGGAAAAGACTCCCTCCAGTTCCAGACTCACAGTTCTGGCAGCTCAGCAGTCTTTTCAACAGAGACACCTGCTCCAAGCGGGACTTACTCCTTTAAAACTAAAGTGACAGCACCAGTTTCTTCCTTCAGATAAGGTAACCCAGAACGGCAGCTCTCAATCTTACTTGGAGCGAGGCTAGTTTACAACAAGCCCATGCAACCATTAATACCCAACAAATACACTGGGACTTGCAAATCACAGCTCTCTGCTCTGGAACTGTTCCTTAAGGGCTGCATATTCACAATACAGACTCAACACTCCCATGTGGCTGATATACATACAGTTGCTAGAAAAACAACCACCTCACAACATGGCCGTAAGCTACTATAGGGATGACAATCCATACTTTTTGAAGCCACACTACAAAGCATTTTAGGTTCTGCATATCAGAAAATAGCCCTAGCGAGAGAGCACAACATTTCTGTAAACTAAACAAAGATCAGCAGAATCCTTGAACCACAGTTGCTGAGGAATGCTTTCTCAGGCACCTAAGAGGACTTAAGTGGAGGTATTCCTAGTTGTTGGCGGTAGAATTAGGCTTACATATAAACTCCTCCTGTATATGTTTAAGACACGATCAACTTACTTTCATCATTTTCTCCAGCTTCAGATGTCACAGTGATTGTGAAAGTCGTTGGCTTTTCTGACAATACTGTTCAAAAAAAAAAAAAAAAGACAGAGAGAGATTCCTTAAATGAGACAACTACTTCTTCACATCATTAAAACTGAACTTCAAGGACTAATGAAGCAAGGAAGCTCTTGACACAGCGTTAAGGGTCTTTTTACCCTATTATTAATACTCTTCAATTAACAGCTATTTTCCATATGATGCAATGTTTGGAGCGCTCTTTGAATGAGAGCCTATAAGATCAACAACACTAAAACGTTTCTCTTTAGAAAGTTTTCTCTTTATGAAGTTTCACTTTTTGGAAAAGTACAAATCTACCTACCACCAAGTGATTTATGTTAGCACACTGAATGTGTGCAGAAAGCTCCCAAAGCTAATTTGCTTTATTGCGCTAGATATGTGTGACGAGCATTCAGTGCACTTTTTTTACAGTATGTCTCCACCTATTTCTATAGGACAGCTTAATGTAACAAATGCCTCTTAAAACAAAAAAAGGAACACATAGTGCTTTCCTTCAAGAATGTACTACCCAAGTAGTAGTACCAGAATGAAATTGCGTGAATGGGGCAGTTAGAAGACAGACAACAAGAGGCTCTATAGAGACACACAAAATGCAAGCACTGTGATCTAAAGTTTCACAGACTAGAAACCTTATCACACAATTGTGGGTTGCAGATCATATCCTCAAATAAGGACTACTCTCTTTCACTGCTATAACCTGTGCCCAATCTAGTAAACATGTTCTCACAGGATTAACTGAATTTTGCCTCATTGCTAATGTACTACTTACCACCATTTTTTACCCCTTCTTCTTTTGGGCATAAGAGCATTAACATGAACGAACAATAACTCGGAGTACACATCAGAGCAGAGGCTGTATGAAAGTATATTGCTTCCATACCAGTATCAGTGATTCAGCATCCCCAGCTACCAGAGATCAATTCATATACCTTTAATATAAAACTGAAGAACCCAAAAGATTTCCAGATTAAAGCAATGGGTAAATGTATTGGGCAAATGTCCGTGTGATGAAGTTACTGCCAAGGAAGATACTGTGGGACTTCAGGCAGAGTACACACCGTGAAGGAAGGAAACAGAAAATGCTCAGGTTTTTTCACCATTAAGTCTTTGGATCCTGAGCAGCATAAATCAGGTTGGATTAGCTAGCACAATAGATACTCTGAATTGTTTGATGGTACCCAGAAAGTCCTGAAAATCTGACGAATCAACATATCCGTCATCTGGAAGTTTTAGCAATATTACACACTGCACCTGGGAACTGAAGCTTGCCTTTGTTCCACCATAGATCTGCAACGGAATAAAGCAGATCCTGGCAATGCACTTACAGAGCAAACAGCATCTTTCCGTATCCCCAAGCACTCCGTGCTTCACAGCGGGGAGAAGCTGTTATCTGAAAGGAAAACCGGCACACACAAGCCAGTTCCCCAATTTCCACCTAGGGCCGCATCTGTGGAAAGGTTTCTCCACAGAGCATCCTTCCACCAGCCTCAGATCGGGCTGGGACACGGGAACGGGTGTTGCCGGGCTGCGGGGCTACGGCGTGACCCGCCCCACGCCGACACGGCCGCGGCAAGAACCGCCAGCAAGTGCTTTGCTTCTCCCGCCTAGGGAGAGCAAAACAAACCAAAAAGACGAAATATCTGCACCCCGTGCAACTAAAAGCGAGGAGACGCCCGAGGGAG